ATGAATCTGAAATCAAAAAAGTAATTGAACAAAACAATTATACTAATTAATGTTTAAAAACTATTGGTAAACAATTAGACAAAATTGAAACTACTTTTGATGATTACTCAACTAGTCATACTTCTACTAGTAAACCCTTAAACAAACCACTTATTAATCTTCCTAGCAATAGGAAACGGGTAAGCCTGTTATCCATGATACAACTACTGTTGAAGACATTGAACAATTATTTACAGAAATATCCACTACTTCTAACGAAAAAGTCCTTACGGGCTTAACACAACAACCACCTGTTCAATTTAGAGTGACTCCGATACATCCAACAATGCACTCAATCAAATAGCCCAACAATTCCAAGCCAATAATCTTAACGGAATCACACATCCTAAAGTTAATCCTACTACTCTCACCAAAAATTGGTATACTAAACCTACACCCCCAGATCTTCAATTTGAAAAAACTAATATTAGCAATCAATTTTTTGTTTCTGTTAAAAAATTGTATGAATGGAATATTGATGGTCTAAGTGAAAATCAAATTCTACAAAAATTAAATCATATGTCCATGGTTGCAAATAGTTACCTTAGTAATTATCCTTATTACACTCAACCTGAAATAGTCTCCCTAATTATTCTTATTCTTAAGTTTTTCTTTAAGTTTACATTTATTAGAATAATGACCATTTTTTCCACAATTGTAACAAGTAACATCTTGAGTAGATTTTGACTTCCTTTTAAAGTGATTAGTTTGTTTATGATATTATGCTAAACCAAAAAAAAAAATATATCAATTGTGGAAAAAATGGTCATTATTCTAATAAATGTAAACTTAAAGAAAAACTTAAGAATAAGTTTAATCAACTACAAATTATTGAAGAACATTAAAGTCAAATATTCGACATATTTAAAATAACTAATATTCCAAATCAATCTCCTGTTCATTCTAGTCCATCACCCAGTAACACCATTCCCTGGAGTGATACCTCTACTTATTACTCTTCCAGTGAAAATACTGACGGAGAGATTGAATTAGGATGTAATGATACTTGCTGTAAACAAATTAATATTCTTAGTAAATCACAACAAGAAGGAGATTCTTTAATAGAATTTTTTAAAAAAATACACTAATTAGTTAAAATCTTTACCAATAAATAAAGACAAAAAACCTCATCAAGATAAACCAATTATTATCCTCACAACTACTTTACAAAGATTCCAAAAAAATAAACATAAAGAAATCACTTTACAAGATTTACAAAATGAGATTAACCAAATTAAACTAACCATTCAAGAGTTAAATGTTAAAGACAAATCATTAGAAGAAGAAATTGTAATATTACACATCAATAAAAATCTTAATGATTTCCAAAATAATAATGATACTTCCTCTAATGAATCTAGTTCTAGTCCTGATCCTAGCCACGTCATCTTTGATAATCGATCAACTAAATCTAATAGTGGTAATCACAACGATAGTCATCGTTTAAATATTATTAATATAATTCATATTCAAAAATGGCATTCGAAAGTCAAACTAGTTATTAATGACTTTAAAATAGAAATCATAGCCCTCATTGACACCGGCACTAATTTAAATTATATTCAAGAAGGTTTAATCCCCACAAAATATTATCATAAAACTAGTGAACAATTAAGTTCTGCTAATGGAAGTCAAATGCATATTAAATATAAATTACCCAAAGTACATATTTGTCAAAATAATGTTTGTTTTAAAACATCCTTTGTTCTAATCAGAAATATGACCGACAAAGTCATCCTAGGAAACCCGTTTATCTTTTTACTATATCCATTTACCACTACTAACCATGGCATAACCACACAAGCTTTTGGTCAAACAGTGATTTTTAAATTCTTGTGTTATCCTAAAATTAAATAATTAAATCAATTAAAAGAATATTCTATATCCCAATCTATTAATCGATTAACTAAACAACTCAAATTTATCAAAGAAGAAGTAAAATACAAAAGAATTGGAACTCAATTGAGTAATCCAATTCTTATATCTAAAATTGATAATTTTAAAAACCAATTAGAAAATACCGTTTGTTCTACTTTACCTAGTGCTTTCTGGCATAAGAAAAAACATTTAGTTACACTTAAAAATTTTAATAAAAGACAAATTCCTACTAAGTTTTGACCTATTCAAATGAATAATGAATTAGTAGAAATGTGCAAAAAAAAAAAAAGATTAATGAATTATTAAAAAATAACATCATTAGTAATAGTAAGTCGTATTGGTCTTGCCCTGCTTTTTATGTTAATAAAATTGCTAAACTTGAATGTGGTGTTCCACGATTAGTCATTAATTATAAATCGTTAAACAAAGTTTTAGAATGGATACGCTATCCAGTCCCTAATAATAATAAAAAAATATCTCATTAAAACTTAGTCAAGTTGTCATCTTTAGTAAATTTGATCTTAAAAGTAGATTTTGGCAAATACAAATTCATCCTGATAATCGCTATAAAACTGTCTTTATTACACCTTTTGGCCATTACGAATGGAATGTCATGCCCTTTGGATTAAAAAATACTCCTAGTGAATTTCAAAACATTATGAATGAAATTTTTAATCCCTTTAGTCAATTTTTTATTGTCTACATAGATGATATCCTCATTTTCTCTAAGTCACTCGATGAACATTGGAAACATCTTAATTCCTTTCTCCATATTATCAAATATAATAGTCTAGTCATTTCTGCTCACAAGATTAAGCTATTTCAAACTAAAGTTAGATTATTAAGCTATGATATCCAGCAAAGTACTATTCTTCCTGTCAGTCGATCTATTGAGTTTGCTTTTAAGTTCCCTGATGAAATTTTAGACAAAACCCAATTATAACGATTTTTAGATTCCTTAAATTACATTGTTGAATTTTACAAAGACCTTAAGTCTTTTTAAGTCTTATTTAGAATTTTTTTTTTCTGAATTTGTAATATGTTAGGCCTATTTTGGCAATTAAGAAGAAAAAAAAATCAGTTACTTTTTTGTATTTGTTTTAAAAAAAAAAAAAAAAAAAAAGAAAACTTAAAAAATTAAAAAGTTAGTTTTTTATTTTTTATTTTTTGATACTTCTCAAAATAAGCCTTAAATTAACAAAATTTGGAATCACATCACTCTATGTCTTCAATCATTGTCTTTGAGAGTGTTAAAAAAATCGTCTTTGAGAATGAGATTATTGGGTTAAAAAAAAAATCATCATAATCATAATCGCAATCACCAGTAATTGCTTGTCAATTATGGGGTGATGGATGGAAAATTTTGACTTTAATTTTTTTTTTTTTTTTGTTTCACCTGACCGAAGAAAATTTATAAATATTACAAAATTACGGACGGGACATTCAACAAAAATTTCCCTATTTGTCATTTATAGAAGAAAATTTATAAATATCACAAAATTTGTAGCTAGATATTCAATTATGTAAAAAATTTCAACCACATTTTAACACAAGCAAATAGCAAGTACAAATTCAACAATTATAGAATAAAAAATATCCTAAACAACTACAGGAGACAGAAAAATCAAAAGTACCCATAAGATTTAAGTTCGATACATTGGTTTTAACAATTTTAAATTTTTTTTAAAAACATTTCTAATGACCTTTTTTAGAGTGGGAACAAATGAAAGTTGACTAATTTTAACAAATTAGGATTCTACCAAATGAGGCCTAGTAAATCATAGAGGGGTGTGGAGAGTTTTTCAAAGTAAAAAATTTTCTGTGGTCAAACCATAACAAAAGTAGATGATTAATCTCCACTTTAATAGATGAATGAAATGTATGTCTATGATTCTATAATCAACCTTGCAAAACGCACAAACGGATGGTCGTCCGGCGCTCAAATACTTAAGTTTGTGCCAAAAATAAGTCTCCTAGACTTTGCTTAAAAGAATTTAGAATAGGAAATTTAGGGGTTATTTGGGATGATCTAAATAAATGTACTTTTTATCTTTTTAAGAAAAGATGTGCAAAAAAGTGGAGAGGTGATGTGATGGAAAAAAGATAAAAAGATGAATTATTTTAAAGATGTCAAACTTGGCCTTAGTCAAAACTCCTCCATTCAATCCTTATTTGGTGAAAGGAACAGCCCAATTTATTTTACTTCATAAACTCCCTAAAAAGAAAATACATAATTGAATAAGGATAAAGTAAAATATCTTATTCTTCTTTTCTTGGATAATATTATTAGTGTAACATGTTGCTGTTATTGTTTACATCAATTTTGACGGTAATAAATTTTTTTTTAAGAATTTCATAGTCACCATAAATCTTATTTGATAAATCTTGATGAAAAAATTATTAAAATATTAGTAATATTATTAAAAACGGACATCTACATCAAAAATTACATTATTTTAAAGTTTAATATTTTGATAATAATAATATGTGTTTGACTTTACAAGAATTAATATATTAAAATTTTATTATGAAAAGATTTTGACCAAATCCACTTTAAAATACTTATAATTGTCCTAAACTTGACTTGCAAAATCCATAATTGTCCCCGAGATAGCACTAGCACTTTATGCCTTATTTATAGGTTACTTCTGCTGTAAATTTCTCTTTTCTGACACCTCCCTTGATAATTTGGCAGTTTGCTTAAAACTCATTAAAAAAAATTTAAAAAAATTCTTTTTGGTCCACGGCCTTGTAACACCGGGCCTCATTTTGATGTTAGTGTTTGTGTTGATGAACCCAACACTAGCGCAATGTATTGTTTGGTGAATCCAATACTCCTTAGCATCGCGTAACCTTAGTCTACGTAAATCATGGTTAGGTATTATAATCTACCTAAATATCAATTATTAAAAGACAAAACATGATCCAAATCAATTATGTCATATAACAACGAAATTTGAAAGGAAAGTTGCATAAGACAGAGATAAGGCTTAGGCAGCTACAATTTAGTTCACTACTTTCTTTTTTTTTTGGTTTTAATGGATATGGACAACTAGGATTCTTGTAAACTTGACTGACGAACCTTGTAAAATATTGTCTATATATGTATATTGTATCTAATTTGTGATCGATTTTGTCTTCGTAGATGATTGAGCATCCTTCTCCAATCACACAATGTTTGTTCAAAGACTGGGCAAAATTTTTAGTATCTCATACATCCAACCCATCACACATCTATCCATGCATTGTTTCGTAAGCTAGCATTGCAAATTTCTACAAACTGTACAAAATAGGAGTAGAGATAGAAGAAGAAGTCTAAACAATGATCAAAAGAGAAGAAGACATAGAAGAAAGCAACAGAAGAGGAAAATTGAAACTCTGTTTAGAGACTTGTCAGCTTTCATCTCCTGCCTTCTCAACCTAGGGCTGCTACTCCCCGTTAGGTGGTAGGAGTTCGGATACGCATACAAACTCTCCGAGTTCCCAAACACCCTGGCATAAACCATTTCCCCAAACATCCCAACCACCGGTTGAGAAACACTCATCGCTGTACTCCCGCTAAGGCTAAAAGATGGCGGTGATGAATCTTCATCATATTGTTGATTTTGATAAGGATTATGATATTGTATCGGCTGACTACGTTGTGATGTAGTAATTTGAGCTTGAGTACCACAAGCAGGTGGCCTTGGTGGTATGGCCAAACCAAGAGATTGTGGTTTGCCTTCAAGCTCAGATTCATTTGGAATATGACCACGGCCATAGAGGGGTACCACCGTGGTGTTGGATATTTTGGCTTTGCAGACCGGGCATTGTGGCTGTTCGTCTGAATCAAGAGAAGTGTTCTGGAAATGGAACCATTTATAGATGCAAGGCCAACAGTAGAGGTGACCACATAGGGTAACCACGGGGTCACGTGCAAAGTCTAGGCAGATGCTACATTCGAAGCAGCCGGATATATTTTCGGACTCTGATGCTGCAGCGGAGATGGATTTCCACTCTTGGGCAACATACTGATCAAAGGCCATCGTTCTTAACCCACAGTTTGTTCTAGTTAACACTTCTTAAATCCTGGAGAGATCATGGAGAAATAACAGATTCAGTGTCTGAGTATTTATGGGTTAAACTTTAGAGAGTGAATAACCCAACACTAATGCAATGCTTATTTTAGTGGGAACTAACATTATCGTAAACAATCCTTTGGCAAATTATTTACCAAGGAGGAGACAGAAGGGAAATTGCATAAAACTGGCTAAAGAAAAGACAGCAACTTTTCAACAGAGCATCTTAAAAAACGAAAAATAAAATAGAAATAAACATAATAACAACGAGAACAAAACATGTATAAACAATTTGACCCCCAAAAAAAAAAATCCAGAAAGTGAGGACCATTTGCAGCTCTTTATTGGCCAAGAATACCAAGTGCATACAGAAAGCTAAATTATTGAGTGGTCCAATGTGCATTGCAATCAGATAAGGACACACAAAAGAGAAGCAGGTACCGGCAACATATATGATACATGTGGCCCTAGTATTTTATTTTCCTTCACTTGAAAATTCAATTTGGAGATCCATCTATATGTTCAAACCCACAATATCTATATCCCTTGACATCTGAATCAATAAGGTCAAAACACCATGAGAATAACACTACGCACAATTCTTTTAGTTTAGATGAAAATAAAAAATCACAGTTGCTTGTTCTCTCAATAATCCTATACAAAACCCATCTCCCAATTCCTCCAAGTAGTGCTCACTGATGGTGACAGCAAAATGCCATCTCAGGAAGTAAGATACTAAATAGGATTATTCAACTGCAATTCCTGAATATTTATATACTACAAGAGAAAATGACAACTTCAGTACGTTGAACTGGACCATGCATAGACTGCAAATATATATTTATATGATTGTAATGCGAAGATTCAAAGCGAAGCTTCAGCTACCAACTGGTTGAACATTAATAGGTCTCGGGTAAAAAATATTTAATAGGTGGGGCATTGATGGGTGAAAATTCAGAGCTTGTTTGGCAATCAACTTTTTGGTTAAAAAAGCACAAAAGACAAAATAAGCTAAATACGTCAATATGACAAAATGTCACATTTAAAGTATAATCATTTCACTTATTCTCTTACAAAAATTAAAAAAACCAAATCAAACAAGTTTTTAATTCCAAACTTAAATGGTCAAAAATCAAAAAACCAACCAAAAAAATCTATTGCCAAACGGCGAAATATTTTCTAGTCAAGTATCGGTTAGGTAGGTAGGAATAGCATTATTGAAGTTTCAGCTTCTCATTAACTGAGACACCACACCCAATTTTTTGAATATAGAAGTTGTAACAATAGAGAGATATTAAAGTGGGTCAATAATTTTTTGTACAACACATAGCCAAAAAAGGCTCATTTTTTTCCAATTTTTTTGTTTTTAGTAATCTTTTCAAAATTACATCAAATTTTTTTACTTCTCTAGATTGTCTGGTGTAAAAGAATTTAAAAAGTAAAAAATAAAAAAATTTCAAAGAACCAAAAAAAAAGCCAAAAAAACTAATTTTGGCTTTTATGGGGTGCCTTTTCTGAATTTTTTTTCCAGACCTTTCCAGACCGTCTAATCGAATAGAACTCAAAAGTTTAAAGTTTGCTAAAATTAAAAAAAAAAAAAAGGATCAATAAAAATGGGAAAAAAAAACCCAACAAAAAATGTAAACCCCAAATACCCACTCAACATCGGTATTGGAGATGCAATAGATCTAGAAAATTAAACCCCCAAAAAAAATATTTGTGATAAAAAAACATTTAAGCCTACTTCAACCCTGTTTTGTGACAAATGATATATGCAGAGTGAACCTCATAATCAGCTGATATCTCCAGGAAATATATGGTTTTCAAAAGCTGCCTAAGCTACGGATCTAGTCAAGACAAAGATGGCTGAACCTATCTGATTTAAAAATGGAAATAAAGGTTACTTAAAAAAGGCTACAAAACATTAATCAAGTTCTTATTCTCTTCTTAGCCTGTTTTATGTCTCAATTATCCCAGTAACTAACATTTGAAGGAAAATTAATAGACAAGAATTGAAATTTAGGAGAGAGAATTTGACAATCATACAGGGCAAGAAAGAGACAAGACAAATAGAAAGTAAAATAGTTCTCTTCTTTTCACTAATTCATAAATTTCATGCTGCAAAACCCTAAAATCCTTAGAAAATGAAACCCAAAAGATAAAAACAAAGTGAAAACTTTCTCCCAGATCATCAAGAGAGAGAAAGAGAGAGAGAGAGGAGAGAGAAATTAACATAAGATCATCAAAATCTCATATATATATATATATATATGCACATCTTTTTAGGTTCAAAGGGATAAATTTTAGGGTTTAAGAGCATCTCCAATTGCTCAAAAATCATTTCCAACCTTTCATCAAATCCTTCATTGAATTTGAATTTGATGAAAATTTTTAAAAATTAAGCATTGAAGATAAATTTCTTTTCCATCAATTTTATAAAAAGAGAAATTTGCGATAAAAGGGAAACTTTAAAAAGATTTTGATGAAATTTTAATGAAAGAATTGAAATAGTTCATATTAAATCAGGTTTTCACTCAAATTTATAATCAAATTATACGAAAAAAATTGGTAAGGGTTGGAGTTCAATGGTATATGAAACCCAGACCTCTAAATTAACAAATCTACAAATCATTCACTCTAAATAAAAATGATTTCATTCTGTCAAATCTATAATCACAACTGCGAAGAAGATCTATGCGATAACTTGCACACAAAAAAAAAAAAAAAAAAAGATCTATAAAAAAAAAAAAAAAAAAAATCACAAAAACTACTTCATCTATTCATATAAAAACATTTTTATATGGATAAAAACAAAGGGTTTGGCTTCTCATCTCAACTTGAGAGAGATTATTTGAATTTGATAGATCAATTTTAGCGATTTTTATATTTATATTGTAAGATTATTCATATACAAAATCAAAATAATTGAATATCAATATTTATATATTTGAATTATATTTGTTTTAAAAAAATACATGATAAATATAGTTTTAAAAATAATTATCTATTTTTATAATATAAATTTAATTAAAAAAATATAATTATTGATATTGAATTATCTTAAATTTTATATAAATATTCTATTAAATTAATTTCAAAAAATAAACAATTTAAATTACTAAAATGATATAAAAAATAGATCTATCAAGATCAAATCTAAACTCATAAAAAAAAAAAATCAAGGTATATGAATCCATACCGGAATTAGAGAAACGATTGAGAGATATTGATGAGGTCTGAGAGTGTTCTTAGCTTTCAATGTCGATTTTCCGGAGAGAGAGACAGAGAGGGTGTTTTGCAGTGGCCAAAATCAGGTGGAGGGTTTTATAGACGAAACAACAGGAGAGGTTTCACATTTGGATGGTTAGATACGAAAATTTTGCTGACGTGGCGAATTCTAGTAGGTGTTGCTTTTTCCCCACGGTGAGAAGAGTACCTACCAACAAACAACTTGAAGGCTTTTTAGGAAGGAAAAAAAAAAAAAAAAAATAGTCAAAATATCTTTATTACACTCTCATTTAATGAAAACAACAGCTTAATTTATTTTACCTAAATGATTGAGATTGCTAAAAAAATACACATCATTAAAAGTTTTAATAAGTTGAAAAATATAAAAAAAAATAAAAATAAAAGAGACAACCATCACATCAAGGGAGAGTCATTTCATTAGTACTCTCTTTTTAGGTCTCGTTTGGCAAGAGGCTATTTTAGCCAATTAGCCAAAAAGTTACTAAATTAGCCAAAAAACCAACAACCCATACCAAAAAGTCAAAGATTCTCTCTTCTCTCTACTTTTTGCACATCTTTTCGTAATTAGCCAAAAAGTCATCCAAAACATAAAAGTTTTTTTTACCTACCTTTTTAGCCAAATAGCCAAAAAGTTACTAAATTAGCATGTTCCCAAACGAGGCCTTAGTACTTCCAAGCATTAATATTTCTTTTATCAACAATGCTAGAAGGTCACAATTTTTGTGGTCACAATTTTTGTGGTCACAATGGTTCAAAACTGTCAAAACGACGTCGTTTTGGGTGCAAAACATGCCAAAATGACGTCGTTTTTACAATTTTGAGCCATTATGGCCACAAAAATTGTGGCCCTCAAACATTTTTCTTTTTTTATTTCATAAATTTATAAGGAGGAGTTACATGATTGAGTAAGGATAAAAATCAAATATTTTTTTTCTTAGTCAGTATTGTTAGAATAACATATTACTATGAACCCAAGGGTGGGTGGCATTGTAGTTAAGACTTGGGGTTTAAGCCCCAAGGTCATGAGTTGAATTCCTTTCCCTTTGGGCCAATCTCCTGGGCGAAGCATAGTTGGTTAGGAAGTTGGACCTCAAGCTGTCTAATCCATACTTGGTGTGGGTTCAATACTCTCCCGCTATGCGAGTCCTGACTTAAGTGGAGCTTATCTTGGGAGGTTGGGGCAGGTTCTCAGGTTATAGTCTCCTCGCTGGGAACGCTAATAGGACACCCTGGTGATCTTTGCAATGAGCGCTGCCTTGGACCTGCGGGAGGGTAGGGAAGATTTTCCTGTAACAAAAAGAAAAAAAATATATGTATATATATTACTATGAACTAGAGTAATATATTACTGTGAGACAAAATAATGGCCATGTTTGGTAGAGCTGTGGGAAAGTGCTTATAGCTTATACCTAAACAACTTATAACTTATAACTATGAACATAAGCTAATTTCTGACTTATAAATTAAGCATCTCCTGCCCCACTCAAAGAATAAGCTGATTTCTGACTTCCAAAAAGCTATAAGTTATAAGATATAAGCTAAATCAAACACATCAAAATAACTTAAATTAAGCTGAAAGCTGAAATAAGCAGCTTTTAAGCTGCACCAAACAGGCACAATATATTACTGTCAAACATAGTAACATGTTACAATTTAAATCAATTTAAATAAATAAAAAAAATGTTACAATTTAAATCAATTTCAACAAAAATAATTTTTAAATAATTCCATAGTCAATATAGATCTTATTTAATAGATCTTAATGAAACAATTCTAAAAATATTAATTTTATTAAAAATCGACATCTAGATCAAAAATTAAATTTATTTTTAGTTTAATATTTTAGTAATAATCGTATGTGTTAAAAAAAAATTTAAAAAAAATTGTACTTATCCTTAACGTATTAAAATTTTATTATAATGGAGTTTTGGCCATATCTCAAAAAAAAAAAAAAAAAAAATACACTATGCCTTTGGAGTTTTTAATACTAATTAATGATTTTTTTGATATTTTAATTATTTTTTTTTTTACTTCCTAAATTTACTTAACTTTCGTTTGACAATTTATGTTGAGATTAAAAAAACACCAAAAGAAAAAATAAACTAAATAAGTTAATAAAAAAAAAAGGCCTAATTTGGGAATGAGATTAAAAATTATCTATCTACTTTTTTACACATTTTTTTAAAAAAGTCAAAAAAAAAATTTCAAAAAGTCAGTTTTTAACCAACTTCTCACAACAATCCAAAATATCACATCCAAATTATAATCATTTTATTTTTTCTCTCAGAAAAATTAAAAAAGACAAAAAAAAATTGTCAAATGAACATTTTAGTCCTAAATTAAAAAAGACTCAACTCCAAAAAGTCAACTAAAATTTTTTTTTACCAAACGATAACTTAATATATGAGGTTAAAATTTAGGAATATTTACTAATAAGTTCCATCTCACAAACAAGTACTCTAATTAGTCTCAATATTTTATATTGATATGTTAAATTCTATGTGTAGAAAGTTTCTTTTCACGTGATCTTATTTTTTATTTTGGTAGTATTTTGCTGGATGACTATACCTTTTTATTAATGTGGTAGGTATGCTGTGACACTCTAATGTGACAAGTATTAATGTGACACTCCCATTTAACGAGTATGATGTGACACTTCAAAAAAATTAAAAATTTCTTAATGTACTTTTCTCAAATGTGACAACATGACGGGTATGATGTGACAATCTAAATCTTTTACTCTAAAAAAACTAAAAACTCCTTAGTGTACTTGTAGCGGGTATGATGTAACACTCCAAAAAAACTAAAAACTCATTACTGTACTTTTTTCAAATGTGACGACGTGACGGAGTATGATGTGACATTTTAAATCTTTTACTTAAAACAATTAAAAATTCTTTAGTGTACTTTTATCAAATGTGACAACGTGACAGGTATGATGTGACACTCTAAAAAAGCTAAAAACTCCTTAGTATACTTTTTTTGAATGTAATAACGTAACGAGTAAGATGCAGTGTACTTTTTCTAAATGTGACAACGTAATAGGTATGATGTGGCACTCCAAAAAAATAAAAACTCATTAATATACTTTTTTTAAGTGTGATAATGTAGCAGGCATGATGTAACATTAAAAAAAAACTAAAAACTTATTAGTGTACTTTTTCTAAATGTAACAACGTGACACGAATATGATTTAACACTCTAAAAAAACTAAAAACTCATTAATATACTTTTCTCAAACATGACATGTAACACTCTAATATGGCGGGTATGATATGACATTGCAAAAAATTAAAAACTCTTTAGTACACTCCAACGTAGCGGGTATAATGTGATACTAAAAAATTTCTTAGTATACTTTTTTTTAAATATGACACCCCAATATAGTAGATAAATGAGTCATTACACATCAAAAATGACTAAATGAATCGTAAGAAAAAATATAGGCCTTATTGGCCAACCTCCCTAAAATTTATAAAAAAAAATCTTTTTAAAAAATTCATTAAATATAACAAAATATAAAAATATACTAAAAAATTTTGTGTTCAATGAATTTTTGAAAAAAAATTGCACAAATTTCATATTTTTTAAGTATATCTAAATAGTAAAGCTAAAAAGTTAAATATATATATAGATTGATTAAAATGTTTAAAAAAAAAATTTACTAAAAACAAAAAGCACGAATTGAAAACTCATATAAATGTTTCAGATTCTAAAAAATTCTTACAATTATATCCATAATGATATGGTATGTATGTGTAAATTCTTAATTTGTTACACAGCTAATGATATAAAGTCCAATTCTCTTATCACATTATTATGGATGAATTTATGAATCAAAAAGTGTATGCATTTAATATTGCTCTTTTGAAAATTTCAAATCAAGAGTGTTTGTTGACACAATTTTGGATTGAGTACACATTACATTAATTTTGATTGATATAAAATAGTTAATTTTATATTTAAAAAGTGTATTGATTTCAATTTTATAAAAAGAATATTTTTTTTTCACTCATCTGAATTTGTGTGGTGTTGTGTGAACAAAATTGGATTCTTTTTGGGCAATATTTGTTTTGTTCCAAATTAGATTAGTAATTCGATAAGTTGCACATAAATTATGTGTTTTTCGTAAAAATATTATAGCATTTGTTAATGTCGTCAGTTTTTAGTTTTCTCTTTACAAAAATATTTTAAAAACAAATAAAAATAAAAATTAATAAACATGTTTAATGAGCTGTCAGAAAAGGTCGCTAACAGTGTGTGGGGATATATTTTAAAAGTTAAGTTTTATGTATGAGTAACCTGATATATACACATATAGATATAGATATATATGTATTGTGGGGAATATGTATGCATACATTTCTATAAATACACATATAGATATAGATATAGATATATTTTTGTACTGTGGGGAATATGTATTTATGAGCTCTCTATGCATTTGCACATTGTACAAACTCTCAGTTTGTCTAATATACATATTTCATCATTTTGACTGATCTTGATTAACTTGATTGTGGATGAAATGGACATGTGTATGTGTACAATCTGTTTCCAAATGTTATAGATTGCCTAATTCTACAGTAAATGCTTGTGGATAACAGATTGCATGCCAAAATGTTCCTTAAAATGATGGAATTGAGAATTTAACTTCTTTTCCTTTCCTTCTAATTTTAAAGTATGAAAAGGAAGTTAGTTTAAAGAAATTGGCCTTTTTCATGCTAATTCTGAGATGGGATTTTACTGATGTAGGTTTGACATCCTTCTACTATCGCTTTGGTGGACTGTTTTTTTGGTCTGTTCATTTCTTCTTGAAGAAAAAAATTTAATAAAATGACTCATTATGATTTGTAGGGGATGAATCAGGTATATACTGCCCTTCATTTTTGTAATTCTTCTAGTTCTCATACTCTGGTATGGGCATATAAAGAAAGAGAGGCCAGTGGAAGCATTTAAAATTACCATTCCCCCAAATAAAAATGCAGTAGAGCAGCTGCTGATATTACAAGAAGCCATCACTCAAGTTGAATCTCTAATACAAGCTGGAAATATTACTTTACTGAAAGTTAGAGCTTTCCTATTTGCTACACTTCCACAGGTATTT